GATCGTCAAAATTCGCCGCTGAACGCGAGAAATTCCTTCGGATTTTTATTTTTAACAAGAGGCCGCGTCGAATGCGGGGAACGCGTTCGAGAAAAGGAAGATTAATTGGTCATTAAGGTCGGAATGTAGACGACGATCCAAGAAACCGATGTTGCAGTTATTACGGGAATATTGGTCGACGGGAAATGTTTCAAGAAATCGACAACGTGGTGGGTGGAAACATTACGGGGACAATGACGACAGTCGAGGTTCGTTTCTCGAACGCTTGTGGAAGAATCGAACGCGACATGTACAGACGACTGTGCTACGCCTGTATTGCGCCCGTGACGTTTGAATTCGTGCCAGCAGACTTCGACTTATGCCAACCTTTCCCTCTTTGCGCCCATACGACATTCTCGTGGGACAACTGCGGCAACCTCTTAACCGAAGAATCGGTTCGTTACTAAATTTATGCGATCGGAAGCCCGGAATTAAAAGCTCGATCTTCCTCGTCGGTCCACCGAAGAGAAATTCAAATTCATCAGTTTCCTAGTGCCTCCATTATATACCTTTCTTTCATTTTTCCTTTTCTTCAAAAACTGAAATTGCAGTTGTACAACGAAATTTCTTTCCACGACGCGCAACGTAATGTAAACAAATTTATTTCCAGCAGATCTTTATTCACCGTTGTAGACTAGTCGAAGAACGAGATACATTTGTGCTCGTCGTTGTGATGAATACAGATCGGTGAAAAATGTGTCTCCAGTCCAGTCCGGAAAAACTCGACCGAAATGAACAAGAACGAGGTCGTTATTATGCGCCGCTTTTTTCCCTCCCTCTCCATAAACGCGGATGGTTTTTTTTGCGGTTTACATTGATGAAATTGGCATTATTGTTATCGAACTCGGCATACTGATCAATCTCACAGCATCGCTGTGAGAACAACTTTGATACTTTGTCGTGCATTACGTATGAAGATATATCGAGTCCAATTACACCGCCAGGTTGTTCTTGCCTGAACGTCTTTTTCCTTAACGTTGCATTTGTATTCATAACGTTCAATGAAACGTGTCCCAATGTTTTATCAATCCGCGGCGATTAATCGAAGTGCATCAAAGGAGGAAAAAGAACGAAAGATTCATTCCGCGTGAGAAGAAAACCGCCACGTCGCGAATTAATTAACAACAAAGGGAATTTCGAACGCGAAACTGAGACCTTGAAATCACGTTGAATCACGAATCACGAGTAATTTTATGCCGCTTATGTCGAGTTCTAGAGGATTTCTTTCGAGTTTTCTTCGAAATCCTTTCGAAGTAGGTGGAAGCCAATTAGACAGAGGAGTAGTAATCCGGGTGTCGCGAGCCTGGTTGTTGTTTCCGTTGCGTACGCAGTCTCTCGGATGATGAAACGTCACGGTTCGTTCGTTCAGATCGCGCCGAGGCATCAAAGAGGCCCGAGTTATGGTAGGTAGATATAGGAATCGTTGAAAGAAAGAACAATCGAGCTCTCGTAACGACAATGGCCGTCGAACCGGATAAGAAATCCATATTACGCTTTACGCTTTTTATCCGACAAGCCTTAGGTATATATATATATATATATATATATATATATATATATATATATATATATATTATGCGCATATATCGGTCAAAGTCCTTCTCGAAAGGAGAAGGCAATAAATAGTAGAGAAGCGATAATTACGGTTGCCGTGGCAAGCAGTGCAACGAGTATATCGTCAACTTTACTTTTTACAGCCCGGCCAAAAGGCTGGACGTGAAACAACGCCGACAATGGCCGATTGCAAAATTTCGAAACAATTTCGTGAGAATCCTCGTGCTCGCGACGAGGAAGCAGAGGCCTCGTGTACGCGCCTTAAGAAACGAGAGACGATTGTGTCGCGAGAAACCGCCGTGTTCCCGATTTGTGTTCTCGACAACACGAGAATTCTTACGCCAGCCGCGATTGTTGGCTGACCCGTGGAAAGTACACGTGTCTATGGAGTCGATAGGAATCAGAAACGGCTGAAATATAGGTCCGCGAGAGCTGGCGTGCGCGAGTCCTTGTATTTTCGGATCGCGAACAATGCTCTCACTTGGCCGGGGGAAGGGTAGGGGGAATAGAACAGGTTGAATATCAATGGGGACTTGGGTTAAGGTTCTTTCTTCTTTTTTCCTTTCAACGCGAAGGAGACCCACCTTCTCTTTTCTTTTCTTTTCTTTTCTTTTTTCTTTTTTTCCCCCAAGACGAATGGATTAAATTGGGTGGATTTCGTTTCAAAGATTCGGAACAGGGATTAAGCTAAATTCGCACGAACGATGTGAAAGATACTTGATAAATCTCTAAAAGTCGCAACTTCCACCACTCTGAATGGACGAGCAACTTTAGCCTCTAAATAAAAGAAAAAAAAAAAAAAAAA